GCCACCTTGCGCTGAATGGTGAATTCTAGCAGGCAGTGGACCTTCCCCGATAGGACCCATTGGAAGGGTTAGAGACTGGGAGGCAGGGGCAGGGGCACCGTGCCCTGTCACACACCTCAATTAGCTCCGGATGTTAGCTACTCACCAGAGCTGTGAGCATGTACAGCCTCGTTGTCCTCCTGTTTTCCATCTAATGAGGAGAGAAAGGAGAGCAGACACCCCCTCAGACACAATATATTGAGTACAAGGCCCGGCGCAGAGCTCTCACAGTGGGCAGCTCCTTGGAAGGCAGCACCCCATGCATGTGCATATAAGCACGCATGCATGCATGTGCTCTTAAAGGCAGAGGGTCCTGGCTGGAGGGTCAGAACCATGCTGTATTTGGGGTCAGGAAGGAATCCCCCCCCCATCAGATTGGTATGGACGGGGGGTTGCCTTTCCCTGTAGTAAGTGCCATGGCCTCTCTATGGGATCTGTATATTAATAACCTTTTACAGCAGCAGGACACTGACAGTTGTTTCCCCCGTGACAGATTTGGGTGTGATGTCTGGTGTTGCATCAGGGTTGATGAGAGTTTCACAGTTTCATAGTTTCATGGTGCTTAGGGTTGGAAGGGACCTAAACTGATCATCAGGTCCGACCCCCTGCCCCAGGCAGGAACGAGTGCCAGGATCATATCATCCCAGCCAAATATCTACCCAGCCTCCTCTTGAAGACCCCCAAGGTAGGAGAGAGCATCACCTCCCGTAGGAGCCCATTCCAGAGCCTGGCAGCCCTAGTTGTTTGAAGAGGTTAGATGATGGATATGTCTGGGACAGTTTGGACAGGGCTGACGTTGCCTCAGGCAGGGGCTAGACTACATGTGAGCTCTGAAGGTCCCTTCCCACCTTTCTTTATACTTTTATGCACACGTTCACACAGGAAAACATGCTCAGCGCGCAGCCAGCCCACGCTCTGTACCCTGCCAGGGGGCGGCAAAACCAGACTTGGGAACCATCCCATGCAAGGCAATGGGGGGCAGTGGGCAGGGCTGGGGTGCCTGGGCTCCAGGTGCTCACTCACCCTGGCTGCAGTAGGTGTGATAATCCTCACAGCAGTTCTGGTACTTCTCACACTTGGTGTTGCAGTGGCAGGGGTCCCTCTTGTTGAACTGCTCATGGCAGCGTCTCTTGCAAGAGTCTGGAGCCGTGTACAAGCCTAGGGGGCAGGCAAAGCAGAGCTGGAGTTCAGACGGCCACAGCAGCAGCCCTGTGCGCCCCCAAATCTCCTGCCAGGTTCAACCCCTGATCCACTGGGACCTCCCCTGCCCTGTTCCATGGGCACCCAACATGAACAGTGCGTGCCCCCGGCAGCTGGTGGGGGCACAGCTACACTGGCGATGGTGGGAGCTCCCACAGACACTGCCAGCACTGTCAGAAGTGGGGGGAGGGGGTGGCTCGCTGCCAGCAGGGCAGATGCCCAGGGTGGGCCATTGGGTCAGAGATGCCTTGAGCAGCAGGCTGGACACCTCTGGACCCCAGGGCATAGCCCCCAAAGTGTCTGCAATCCAGCCTGGGCAGTGCAGGGGAACACCCCACTCTGGCACTGGGGCTGGGTGTCTCTCTGGCACCTGCCAGGCTGCACCCAGAAGTGTTGGCCTCTGTGCCAGGGGAGCTGTCAGGATGGTCCCAGGCCCCTCAAGGGGGCCTTTGAGGGCCTATTCCCTGGGTTCACCAAGTCCTCCAGGCTGGCCCTGGGCATGCCAATCCCCCTGCCCATCAGAGGGAGGTGAGGAGCCCCAGGCTGGGGCAGGTTGCAGGGCAGAACCAGCACAGCTGCCATAGATGCAAAGCCGTGGTGACCCCACACCCGACAGCTCCGAGCAGGACTCACCGGTGCTCTCATGCTCTGCATCCTCTTCGGCCTCTGCAGCTGCATAGAAGGAAAGAAAGAGCCGTGAGTGTGTGACCACCGCCACCTGCCTCTGACTGCGTGCCCAGCTGCTCACAGCTGCCTCAGGGCTAGCAAAAGATGCTCAAATATTAAACCCAAAGACTTAAACAGAGCAGCTCCTATGTCTGGCCAGCCACATGCGGCCAAGCCACATCGAAGCAGCTCCTCCTGGGTGTGTCAGCAAGGAATCAGCCTCCGGGCTGGAACTGGTTGTCCTAGTGGCTCCCAGGAGGCTCAATCCATCCAGATCCTGGCTCATTTGGTGCTCCCCAAAGAGGTGACCTGGTGGGGCACAGCCCTGGCCAGGACATATTAAAGCCCATCAAGATCTGGGGCCAGGCTGAGGGTTGGGGCTCAACTCCTAGCCAGCACTGGCAGAGAAGAACGATGCACCCATAGGACCCCAGAGCAATGTTCCTGGCTCTGACCCAATGCTCTGTGTTGATACCAGGGCTACACCAAGGTTAGACCCCTGGCTGGGCAGCACTGGCTGAACCTGCTGCTCTCCCCTCGTGTATGGCTTCTCTGTGGTTTTACTCTCTTTATCCAGGGAGACCCAGGTGGTTTTGCAAGGTCCCAGACCCCCAAACCGCTTCGTCCAAATGTTGGTAGCTCCGGTGCCTTGCAAACAGGAATAATGTGTGCCCTACCCTGTATGGCACCAAGGGGCAAATCCCCGTGTGATGCAGAAAAGTTAACAGCTGATGGTATCGGGAAGGGTGTCCCTCCCAGAGCATAGCCTTACGCAACTCCTTTCCTCACCACAGCCTTTGCAAGCAGCAGATACCAGGAACTGCCCAGGGCATGATGCTGAGTAACTGAGCCCTGGCTCCATGACAGCTTGGCTAACGTCCCTTCCCAGAGCCGCCTTCCCATGGCTGGGAGAAGACATGCACGTTTCTCATCGACCCCACTTTTGCAGGGGGTTGAAACTGCAGCTTTTGCCCAGTTCCCGGCATGCTTGGAAATCCAGGTCTTGTCTAGCACCGAAATTGTGCAGCAGTGAAGACCCTCTTCTTGACCCCAGCGTCAGCACTGGGAGACTGGCCAGGCTGGACAAAGCAGCAAAACCTCAGCGTGTCCCTTCCCAAGGTCTCCTGCCCCGTTCCACCATATCAGGGTGACAATCCACCGTTTGCTAGAGGCATTTTGCATGGGGGGCCAGGTGGGTCCTCTCTGTGTATCACCATTGTGGGGAGCCAAACCCCCACAATTTGGCAGGGAAAGCAACGCATGGCAAATGATTCGGACTGAGAGTCCAGATCTGCCGGATCAACACATAGCCCCTTGCTGCTGGGACCACAGACTGTCACCCAGAGCAGATAGACGGTGACATAGCTGCACATAGGTCATTCACAGGGGCTGCAAGGGCCTTAGGCCCTAGGAATTTGGACAAACAGGACATTAAGACAGGGGCCCTGGGCTGGACCTCTGCCAGGGGTCACTTCTGCAGGGACAGAAGGGACAGAAAGCTTCGGTCATTCAGTCAGGGAATAGAAGCAATATCACACAGAGCAAACCATCCCTACCTGGCAAATACCCAGACCACACCAGCGAGCTAACACCCACAGCAGATACAGCCAGCATGTGGATTTCATGAACTGACGTGTGCGGCCTTAAGACAATCCCACTTCAACCACCATATTTGACCACTCACAACACCCATGCCCCCATCCGAGACAGCTCCTTGAAATGCCAGTGCATATTACCTGTGAGAAATATGGTAAGAGCAATTTCTGGCTGGTTCTGGGCAAAAGTGTGTAAAATATGCATGGGCTCCAAGATGTGGTTAGAGCCCCGTCGGAGGGCAGTGCGTGTAGCTAGTAATGAGGGGCGCTTGTACGTGTTACGAGGAGGATTATTTAGGACTGAGCTGTGCCCGCATGGTCTGTGTTGAGCCAGGTTGTTACGTCTTTTGTGAGCAATAGATGCAACCACTTAATGTTGCTTTGTCATAGGATGTCGTCCGATGAGCAAGCAGGCAGTCACGGGGTGAACAGCAGTACTGAGCGAGGCACAGCAGCTGCATGCTGCTGTCTACTAGCCCTCGCTCCCTTTGCAAATGAGCCAGAGGGAAATTGGTTTGCAACACGTGCTCGATGGATGTGAAGCAGCAAAGGGGGCAGATCAGAGCCGCTGGGATCACGGCTGGGGCTGGTCCTGCTTTGAGCAGAGGGTTGGACTAGATGTGACCTCCTGAGGTCCCTTCAACCCTCATTTTCTGAGTCTATGTTCTGCAGAGGGGAGGAAAAAAGGCCAAATCGGGGCCAGACGCCCCATGTCAAGGGTGGTCAGCAGGGAGGTGACAACCCACACAGCACCGTTGGCCCCCGAGACATGCCCCACACATGGGAGAGAGGGATGCAGCCTCTGAAGCAGAACTACCTAGTCCTTAAATGCTGAAAGCTGCAAGGGAGAGAGGAACGGGGAGTGGGGGGGACCCGGCTCAGATCCGCTCACTCTCCCTTCCAGCCTCCGCTCTCTGCTGCCGGGTGACCCAGGAGACTGGGAGCACCGGACCTAGGGTCTGATCCAGTCTCTGGCAGGACTCATATTCCCATGAAGTCCCCTCCAGCCCTCACTGCCTCCCTCCCCCTTCAGCTGTGCTCCCCACCTGGAGCCAAGCACTTCTACTCACCGCTGGAGACCCAGCCGCAGGTGATGGCCACGACAGTGAGAAGGATCCAGGTCCTCATGGTCCCAGAGACACTGAAGTTCCCGAAGCTCTGGAAACTGCCGTGCCCTCGGCTTGCCCCAGTATATGTGAGCGCCTGCCCCACCCCAGGGGAGAGGCTGTGGGGAGGAGCAGTGTGGCACCTGCAGCCCTTGTAGCAACAACCCGGCTGGTCCGGGTAATTATCCTGCCTGGAAGATGATGAAGGCCAGTAATTCCTGTCACCACGCCCGGCCCTCTGCACCCGCCTCATTGCACTCTGTCCTGGAGGGGAGGAAGTTCTCCCAGGAGGTGCCAGGATCTGTGGGGCACCACTGCCTTGGTGAGAGGTTGGCATGCGCTGCCAGCAGGGCCCATCTGGGCTCGGGGCCTGCTGTGACGGGACTCTCTGGATGTCACTGAACTTTTCCGGGCCTCAGCTCCAGCTGAAACGGCAGAGGAAGGGGCTTTGCTTCCCCCCACCCTCTGCCGGTTGGACCCTGAGGTCTTCAGGCTACCCCTAGGCTCTCACTCAAGGCCTCTCCAGCAAAGCAAGCAGGACTAATGCATGACACAGCCCTCGGTCCACACCACGGCAGCTGAGAGTGCTCGAAGAACTGGCCGAGGCAACTGTCCAGCAAGCTGTGCCTGACTGTGGTCCACACGGGCCGTGCCCGTTCCAGAGCTGGCCAGCAAGATGCCAGTTGTGTCCGCTGGGTGTGCGTGCTTGTGCGTTTATGCGTGTGCATGTTTGTGTATGCATGTGCTTGTGCATTGTGTGTGTGCTTGTGTGTACACGTGTGCTTGTGCATGTGCGTGTGCGCATGGGTTTGTGTGCGTATTTATATGTGCATGTGTGCTTGCGTGTGTGTGCATGTGCAGGGGTTTGTGTGCATGTGTGCTTGTGCATGTGTGTGTGCTTGTGCATGTGTGCTTGTGCATGTGTGCGCATGCGCTTGCGTGTGCATGTGCACATATGTGAATGTGCCATGAATTGTGTAGTCAAGATCCTCACATTTGGGGGCGTTTGTAGAGCTTGCAGGAGTCAGCCTGCCCACGGTGCAGGGGACTGGCCTTCGCCGTCTGCCCTCACTGAGTCCCCCAAGGCCGAGAAGATGTGACTGCGCGGGTGGGAGACGTCGTGTGGTGTGGTACGAACCCTTGTCGTCTGCAAACTGTTACGAGGCAGCCCGCCTGCTCCCAGTACCTCCCAATCCTGGTGCCCAGCCTGTCTGGCATGGGCCTGGCACTGGGGAGTGTCCCCACCCAGCCCTCCAGCCCTCACCCCCATCCAGCTGTGCCACGGGCTCTTCACAGCCCCTCATACCCACGACGTGATTCAACAGGCCCCGCACAGAAATGCCAGCACCGTGCCAGCAGGGCCGCAGAGCCCGGTGGGTGGGCACACTCGCTCCCCCACCCCACACCAGGTCAGGGAGTGGCAGTGAGAGCAAGGGGCAGGGTTGTGTCTGGACCCTGCCCCCTACAAATGCTGCCACTGGTGAGGTTTTTGGGGCCCTAGTCCCACTCCTTCAGGGCCCGTGCTGCCCATCTGGTCTCCCTCCCATTCAGGGGGCACTGAGCAGACCCATCTTTCTCCCTCATCCTTGCCAGGGCCTGGTGCAGAGAGGCAAGGATGGGGCAGAAAGGCATGAGCATGGCAGCAACCTGGGGCGTGCTGCCATGCCCCGTCTCCCCAGGCATGAGCTGGCAGGGACATGACCCATACACCGAAACGCCAGCCAGACCCACAGCCAGCACAGCAGAATCTGACCCGTTCCCTGGGCCTTGCCCAACCACCCGGGCAGGATGGCTGAGCTGTGATTCAGCTCATCCCCAGGGCACCAGAGATGTGGGGAAATTAGGAGGTGCCCAGCTCCCCGCAACCCTGCAAGGCAGCCTCTGGCATGTTCGGGGAGACTGGGGCTGCACCCCTCGCCAGCAGGACCTAGGGGTGGGGTGCGGGATGGAGCTAGGCTTCATCTGGATGGCAGCAGAGATTGTGAGCCAGCTACCTGCCCTTCCCAGAGCCACCGCCTCCTGCACCACCACGGCACTGTGCTTTCCCTCGGGGGAGCAGCTGACTTCTGCTCCAAACTCAAGCGTGGTGCTCAGGGCACTTGACTGCGTCTCAACATCCTCCCAGCCCTAAGTCAGTGCCAGACGCGAGCTCACAGCAAGTGCCTGGCATTTCCAGGGCAGAAGGCTGCGCCCAGGTCGGCCTCGGCTGTGCCGGTGCTGGCGGATGGAGGCTCCAGGCCTGACGTATCCACCTGCAGCCGCTCGGGTACCTCCAGGGTCTGCCATGGGGGCAGAGGGAACCAGACCAGGTGCAGGGAGAGCAACAGCAAAGGGGGACACATATGGCTCATGGCAAAGCTCTGCACGGGCCTCCGCCAGCCCTGGCAAGGAAGGGAGTGCCAGGGCCCAGGCTTCATGCCCCGCGCCAGCTGCCCAAGGGTCATTTCTCCCAGGGGCCTCTCCGGGGGGTGTTGAGGCCGTGCCCCCCTGGGAAAGCCACCTCTCCCTGCCCACCACCCCTAGTCCCTGCCCCAAAGGGAGCCACATCCTGGAGCTGCCACATCGTGGTCATGAAGGACAACGCCCCGTCCTATACAAAAATACTTCTATTGCTTGCAGCACTCCCACTGGGGGCTGTGTCGCTGCTTGTCCAAACGGCCGCAGCCTTGCCCGCCCCTGTCTGTCCATGCCAGCAGCTTCCCTGGTTCGGGGCCCCGGGCCCTGGCATCCAGGTGCAGTCACCGTGCCAGGTTGGGCATGAGGTCTGTGGGCCAGTGTGGCTCCCCCCTGCCCCGGGGGCAGTCAGTGCTGTCCCCGTGCTGGAAAGCAGAGAAACACGTCGCCTTGAGATTGCCGTCTGGCCTTCCCACGCCACCCTGGGTCCCTCCAGCCGTCAGGACTCGAGGTCTCGAGACAGCCGCAGCAGCTCCTTCTGGTTGTCGATCACCCTCAGGTGCTGGAGGTAGACACTGGCGGAGGTCGGGCTCCGGATACTCAGTGACTGCTCAGAGCCTGCGGGGAACAGCCGGCGTCAGGAGGGGCCGAGTGCCTGGACCGGTAGCATAACAGGGAACAGGGGACATACCCCAAGGGAGCACTGTACTGCTGTGAGCTCCCTCAGGGCAGTGCCCCTATCAGCCACCGTCCCAAGGCAGGCAGGCTACGATGGACGGTCCCCAGCTAGGACGGGGCCGTCACAGGCTATTGCCTGTCCTCTCGTGGCCAGGAGCCGCCATAGCACCCGCTGCCAGTGTCTTCCTGGAGAGCCGCCTTCCAGCCTGCTGGAGCCAGGGGTACGAAGCTCTCAGGTGAGACTGGGTTTGCCTCGGACGTCCCTGGCACCGTGACTGTCTGGCCCGGGGGAGTGGGTTGTGGCTGGAACCGGCGACCCCTGGTCCTGCTTAGAGGCGCTGGGCACCTCTGCAATGGGGCACGCCCCTGCCAGCCAGGCCCGAACAAGGGGCAAAGGGCATAGATGCTCTCTGGGGGCAGCCAGAGAGGTCCAGGCTGGTTCAACTCCATTCAGCTTATGGGATGTGACCAAGGTCACCAGGCAAAGCAGTAGCAGAGCTGCCCAGCCCCCTGCTTGAGAGCCGCATGTGCATAGACCAGGGGAGTTATGGGGAGGGGGCACTGCCCAAAGCCGGGCAGGGATCCCAGTGGAGGGGTGGCTGGCACAGCTCCCCTGGCCTGGCCTGGCCTTACAGGTGGAGACACGCAGGGCCTTGGGGTCTTCCAGCCGGTGGGGGGAGCGACTCCGCAGCGGGGAGACGGGAGCTGCGTGGGGAGAGACAAGGGCATTAGGGTAGTCACAAGCTCCCCCCATCCAACACACCCCCCAGATGTCCCTGCCCCTTGCCCCGCTCTCCCAACTCCAAACCGGTGTTCACATCCACCCTGCCCGCCAGGGGCACCTGCCCATGTCTGCGCCTGCTAGAGCTGGAGCCAGACCTTGCACTGATGCTGTCCGGGACCCTGGTCACTGCAGACGTGCCCCTACCCTATGCCCCCTGCCCTGCAGAGCTCCCCCCTGGAGCCTGCCCTGCCCTGCTTGGAGCCCGGTGGCACTCACTGTGGACGTGGCTCCGGCAGCGATGCAGGATGCGTACGGCTTTGGCCATCATGCGCTGCAGGCAAAGCCCAGAGGTGACCCACTGACATTGTGGCAGCCCTCCAGCAGCCGGGGTGTGGGGGACAGAGCCACCTCGTCTAGCTAGCCTATGCACTCAAGCAAGGGGCAGCTGGGCACTGCCACAGGCATGTTGACCCCAGGGACACTCTTGGCACACTGGGACACCAGTTCCCCCCCTACCTCCCCCTGGCTAGGAGCCTGGGCTCTCAGCAGGAAGGGGCAAAGGCAGATAAGGGGCCGCACCAGGGCCCCCGTCCGCTCACCATCTTCTCGAAGTTGATGAGGTTCTCTGACAGCGTGCGGTTGCCCTCATGGATGAAGGTCAGGTCTGCAGGGGAGAAGGTCCAGACCCTGAAGACCCCTGCGCTTCCCTGCCCCGCTCAGCCTCTGCCCCCAGTCCCAGTCCCGACCCCATTTGATGCCGGCACCTTGCACCCAGCCCTGACTTCACTTGACCCCCTTTCCACATCAAGTTGATGTGACTCCCCGAGTCCAGCCCTGACAAAGAGCCTCGTGGCTTCTCAGGGGGATCGTGGCCCTAGCCTCCCTCCAGCCCTTGCAGCGGTACCTTTCAGGAGAAGGGGAAGGAAGGGGAGGATGGGGGCGCTCAGCTTGGCGACGGCCAGCCTGTAGACACGGTGGTTCCACGACGGGTCCTGGAAGGAGAAGGCAGGCTCCAGGCAGGGCCGGCCATGGCGCGCCCTGCACCCCGCTCACAGCCCCCGAGGGAGATAGGGGTGGCCCAAGGCGGGGAGCCCAGGTGGGATGTTGAGCTCGGGGGGGACCCGGGCAGGTGCAGCCAGGCAGCGGGGGCAGGTGGGGCCACCTGCGACCTTCGTGGGGAGTGGGGGGAGCCCAGCTCACCAGCATCTGCTCCAGCACGGCATGCAGCTTCCGGACCTTGTGGGGCAGCCTCTGCCGAGAGAAGGGGGACGAGCACATGTGGGTAGCATGAGGATCCCGGAGGGGCCAAGAGCCCGAATCCTGAAATCTCCCAGGGTTCAGAGTGCACTTGCTGCTCCCTACAGTGGATCCAGAGTCCAGCTGGGACCGGCATCTCCCTGCATGGCTCAAAGGCCGGCTCTGGATCACCCGGGGGGTGGGGACAGGCTGCTCTGGGGACTTTGAGTCCCCGGGGCAGGTAAAACTGACTTCGCTCTGCTCTCCGGAGCTCAGCACCGGGGTTTTCCCCAGGGCACAAAGCTGGCTCGTTACCCCTGAGGCTGGGGGTCTGGGTCTGGTGCTGCCCAGGGGCTGGGGCAGGCAGGGGCTCGGTACCTCCCAGGTCTTGGCCAGGCGGCTCACGGCCGTGTTGCTCAGCCCGAACATCACAGCGAAGAAGGAATTCAGGTTCTTCTGCTCCTTGAGGCTACAAGCAAAGACATGGAGGCTCAGGTCGGAGCCGGGCCCCGGGACAGCCACGCTGCCTGAGCCCTCGTGGCACCCGTCACTTACTGTGCCGCCAGCTTGATAAACTTGCGGAGGAGCTGGGCCCGCCGGGCCACGTCCCTGCACAGGCACAGCTCCGTGGACACCCAGTACTGCAGCTCATTGAAGCGCCGCATGACGCGCTCCAG